ATACTAAAGACCATGTTTCATTTCTCATCAAAGCTTTGAACTCATCTTTCATTGCAACGTTCCATTCGAGTATGATCAGTGCTTCAGAAGCAGTTGTTGGCTCATTAAGGATATTTTGAGTGGCTATGACGGCACGTCCTACAGAGGTTAGGTGTGAGCTTTTTGATCTTGTAATCATAGGGTGTTGGTTTAATATTGGTTGAGGTCGAGAGATAGGTAAGACTACCTCCAATTGTATATCGGGACAAGCATTTGAATTATGAACCTCTTGAAGCTCTTTATATGGCATTTTGTTTGTGGTAAAATCTACATAAGCAATTCCATCAAGATTCTTATGAGCAAAACACGACATCTGAACTTTCTGCTGATCATTAATAGGTTCATCAAGGACCTCATGAGTAGCTGGAGCTGAAACATTAACAGGTTCATCTGGAGGTAGAATATTGGTATGTATCCCTACTGTGTTTGTGGTAAAATCTACACCAGCAATTCCATCAAGATTCTTAGGAATAGAGTCTATCATCTGAACTCTATGCGGAACCTGTTTGGGATGTAACTCCTCATTTGTTAACACATTTCCAGAGTCACATTCTGATATGAAAGCATCACCAAGAATATAGCTAGCCTTATCCGAGCTGGGAATAATGCAATGAGCAAGATTCCAAGAGGTGGCAGTACAAGCATTCTCCACACTTTCGAAGGCTGAATCTGTAGTATTAGTATCTTTGAACAAGAAACATTTAAAACCTTCTTTGAAGGGAAACATAGTCTCATTAAACTTAGCTTGTCTAACAATGTAAACTTTTCCTGAGGAAGATAGACATTTGTAACCTTTATGAGAATTGCTATATCCTATGAAGACACATTTTTCAGTGTGATAGGAGAACCTATGCTTCTAATATGGATGAATGAAAGGATAACAACAACATCCAAAGACCTTTAACTCAGTGTATAAAGGTTCTTGATCTAGTAATTTCTGGAATGGGGACATGTATGCAAGAGGAGATAACGGTAGCCTGTTAATCAAGTAGGTTGCTGTTGTGAAAGCGTGCCACCATAGACAAAAAGGCATACCTGCATATGCTAACAAGGTTAAACCAAATTCTGTGATGGTTCTATGCCTTCTTTCTATTCTCCCATTTTGTTGATGTAGATAGGGGCTAAGATGTCTAAAAGCTATACCATGTGTTTGTAGATATTGAGTAAAAGGCCTGAATTCACCTCCCCAATTAGTTTGTAAGCACCTTAGTTTAGGACCTAATTGTTTCTCAACAAAGACATGGAACTGAGTAAAAATTTTAAGAGATTCAGATTTAACTTTGAGAGGATAAATCCACATATACCGGCTATGGTCATCTACAAACAACATGTAATATCTAAATCCCTCAGATGAAAATACTGGAGCAGGTCACCACAGATCTGAATATACCAGTTCAAGAGCACAATGAGTTTGAAAATCAAAAACAGGAAAAGTAGCTTGATGCATCTTCCTAAATTGACAAGCCTCGCAAAATGTTTTATTAGCAATAGTCATTTACATGGACTTTATTCAACACAAATTGCAAAGTTTTCTCTTGTGAATGTCCTAGCTGGCATGCCAAAGATTTGCAAGATTTTCAGAGTAGCACTACTAATATTGTTGCTGCTAACCTTGCTACTGTTGGACACGCTTGAGCTAGGATTAATCTCCTCTACTGAATCATTATTAGAAACATCAAAAGACAACTTACTACTATTCTTGGAGTGATTATTACTACTAGTAGATTCAACAACATGACAGATTGCATGTTGACTGCAGAGTGTCCTCATTTGCCACAACCTTGACAGATCAGTTTAGGCCTAAACTGACCCATTCCTCTGCCTCGGCTACGCATCATATAAGGATTGAACATGTACATTCTAGGAGAGTTATGAGCAGCAAATGAACCATGAGAACTAGTTGGAACATATGTGAAGAATAGCCAAAAGGAAAAAATGGTCTAGAATTATTCCCAGAATTTACTAGACTACCATTAGGCCGAGATAATTGAGGTATCAAATAACTCCCTAAAGAGTCCATATTGGCACCTGGCCTAACTCCCTTGTTCTGTGAGGCAGCATTAACATTGGTATAACTATGATCTGCAGTTTGTTTAGAAACCAGAAGAGTCGAAGCTAGTTGATCATGTAAGTGATTATAAGCACTATGTTGCCTCTCCAATCTTATTTCATGTTTGTGTAACAAGAACTGAGCCTCTTGTAGAGTGATAATGCTACTATTAGAGCTGAGATTTGCGACAACAACATCATACTCCGGTCCCAAACCACCTAATATATATAGCAACACTTCCTCATTACTTAGACTTACACCACTACCGTTCAACTCATCTCCTAGTTCTTTCATCTTCAGCACATATTCATTAATACTACATGAATCCTTCTTAGTTGTCTGTAGTAAGTTTCTTAAGTGCAGTGTTCTAGCCTTAGATACTGATTGGAAATGCAACTCTAAAATGTTCCAACCTTCATAGGCTGTACTACACTTAGCAACATGTCTAAACATAGATTCATAAATAGTTGAAAGAAGCCAGCTTACTAAAAACTTATCAACCTTTTTCCAATCAAAATAGTTAGGGTTTGGTTTCTTTACCTTCTCTCCTGTCTCTTCAGATGTAACAATTAAAAACATTGGTGGACATACTTTCTCTCCAGTAACGAAGACATCCAATCCATGTGAGCTCAAAGCTGGAAAGATTTGAGATTTCTAGAAAATGTAGTTTCTTTCTTGAAGTTTCATGGAGATCGAAGGTAAGGTAGGCAATGTGCTTGGACTTGTAACAGTAGCTAATCCAGTTTCCATATTTTTCCTTTGTTTGAAGAGAAAAATTTGCAGAAACAATTTGAGCTAAGATCAACCTTAGACGTTAGTCTAAATTTGATATTGTAACTTTAATTATGCAATATATAAACAGTAAATTACATACACATATCAATCAATTGCATACTCTTATATTTACATCAACAAATCAATTCATTTTATACCCTAATTGTGCATAAACATGAATCCCAAGAACTTGAACTTAATGATTTTCACAATAAAAATGTAATAGGATAATTACTACATACATTGATCCATGAATATTTTTGAACTTGTCTTGATTTGCACTTAAATCTGCTTGAAACGATGTTTCTCTCCCTTAATTCCTTTAATGAAGACCGTGGTTCTTAATGGAATAGAAAACTGTAATCTGTTGTGTATATAAAAGAGAGAGAGGACCCGTTTCTAGTCATAGAGTTTAATTGCAATACACCTTCCATCAAGGTCTCTCCCTCAAAAGACCATATTGCCCTTGACATTTTATTATTATTCAACCAATACCCATATTATATAACATATATATAATTATAATATTATACTTATATGTTTAATGTTTTTGGACCATATTATAAGAATATATAAATATATTCTAACAAAATCTTCATTTTATCAATGTAGGAGGATAAAAAATGAAAGTGTTTGCTCCTATATTTATAATCACACAAAAGCCAAATGATTTTCATTGGATGAGATCATACATCATGATTATGATAAATCATTAACAAACAATGTAAAATAGAGTAAGATAATGACATTTTTTTTTTCTCTTTGATTTTCTCAAGGATTTGCAATGCTAGGCTGCTATACATTGGAAAAGGAAAAGTTTTCTATGTAAATAATTTGTCTCATCTGACTGTCTACCCTTTTTATATAAAATATAAAAATTAAGAAAGACAAGAGGAGTTGAAGTCCCTACAGCACTCCTCCTTGACCATGCCCCTTTGTTATCTGTTCCATACTTTGCTTTCTGTTGTAGTTTCCAATCCTCTCTGCCTTCTCCAATATTTGTTATGCTTCTAAATGCACTATTTAGATTAGTAATTTATATCTAAAATTATAATGACTTCTAATTGATATATATAATTCACTATTAGAATTTTTTGTTTACACTGACGTAGAGCCCATTAACATACTCAAAGATTTAAAGAAGATTAAGAAAGGAAAACTACGGTTCCATATATTAAGACTAACCCAAAAAGAAGAGTAAAGTCACATATATATACAACTAAGTAGAAGTACTAAACTACCCTTAAGAATAAGAAAAAAGTACATATAATCCTAACATCCCCCCTCACGATGCGACAAAAAGAAGCATAGAGAGTTTGTCAACCAAAAAACGAAAGTGAGAAATAGGGTGTAACTTTCTAAACAAGTCTGCAATCTACATAGAAGAAGAAACAAAAGGCAATGTAATAGTGGCATGCTAAAGATGATGACGGGTGAGGTGACAATCAATCTCAATGTGCTTGTCCGGTCATGAAAAACTGAGTTGTGAGCAATTTGAATAATACTGTTGTTATCGCAGTACATAGGAGTAGGATGAGAAAGAGAAATGCACATATCAGGAAGTAACCAACGTAACCAAACTATCTTAGTGGTAGTAGATGCCATATATAGCATGATACTCGGCTTCTGTGGAGGATCTAGAAATGATTGGCTGTTTTTTGCTCTTCCAAGAAATAAGAGAATCGCCCAAGAAGATAGAGTTAGGGGTGTTCAAAACCGGTTAACCGATTTTGTGAGCTGAACCGGTTTTTCGGTTCGACTATTTTCCTAAATCGAACCAAAACCAAACCAGTTAAGGGGAAAACTAGTTAATCGGTTTTGAACCGGTTTTCCCTTTAACTTTTTTTTTTTTTTTAATTTTGATTTTTCCCTAATTTAAACTGTAAAAGTGCAGAATTGTTATATTCTTTTTTGCAATCCAATAACTTAAACATTCATACATATCCATTGATCACAACAAACAATACATTAAAAATTGATACAAATAAAAGTCCATAATGAAACTACTACAATAAAACAACAAAATAAGTCACAATGGAAATGAAAATAGAAATGTTCAACACAAAAAAAGCACGCCGCAAGTGCAACCAACTACAACTCTACAAGTCTACAACAATCAACACAACTACACAAGTCCATAAGAACCAACCAACCGCAACTCCACAAGTGGAAAGTGGAAACCAACATTAAGTCAATACTAGTAGCTCTCCCAATTTCTGCCCAAATAAAAATTAAATGTTAGAAGTTGATAAAAAGTGAATAATATTTTTTTCATTGCCTACAATAACAAAACAGTTAAAGAAATCATACCTCAATTAAATGTCGCAAAAACTTCAATCATCCAGATGAACACGAGTAGTATTTTCCATTGTCAAAGACACAAATTCTAAAAAAAGTAGGTTATATAAATAATAGTTAAATTCAAAATACAGTCACCAAATCCAACAAAGATAACATAATACCTAATAATTGAAACTAAAACAAAAATTTTACCTAACTGAAGCTGTGATATCTCATCCAAGCTCTCCTCAGTCATGAATGGTTCACACGTAGCCTGAATCCAACCTTGTGTACAAATAAGAGCCTTCATCGTCTTAGGAGTGAGGGAGCTACGAAATGGATCTAATACATGACCCCTAGTGCTAAACACTAACTCAGATGTAACAGTAGAAACCGGCATAGCCAATACATCTCGTGCTATCGAAGAGAGAACTGGATATCTATTTGAATTTACCTTCCGCCAACTCAAGATATCAAGCATCCTATCCTTGTGACACTACTTACATTCATCCCCTAAATATTTATCCATCTCAGATTTGGTCACCGAAACTTGTTGTCCAACTCTTGCCTTATCGTACCTAAAATACATTAATTCTTTAGGATCAACATTTACATCATCAACGTCAATCTGACTTGCGAGTTGAGATTGTTGACTAGATTGCCCACCAGGAAAAGCATAAATAAGCTTGTGTTGGTCAAATAAGAGTACAAAGTTGTATGCACTTTTGTCTTCAAAAGTTCAGCATTAATATCATCATAGGAATTAGTAATAACCAAATTCACATATTCTAACTTGAATCTAGGATCCAACACCATTGTAGTGAATAACATTAAGTTGATGTTATCAATATTTAACCAATATTTATCATGTGTTTTCTTCATTTTCCTAGCCATAGTACTTAAGCCAACATCATTACTTCTACACCATGTTGAAATCTTCATTCCAATGCCATATATATCGCGCATGTATGCATTATCGGTAACAAAAAGTGAGCCCGACATACGTAGAGTAGCATCATAAAAAAATTTAAGAAAAGGTAACAAGTAATGGGCATACTCCCAATCACTAGGCATAGGCAAACCCCTTGACTTTTCCCCTCTAGTAAGTTCATCGTTAAACTTAATGTCTTGGAGCCACATCCAACATTAATGCATAGAATTCGACCTTGTTCTTACATCAAGAACCAAAAGATTTTTTTGTTCAATCTTTTCTTGCTCTACACACTCCTTAAACCTTTGTAACCTCTTGGAGAAGACCTCACATACTTTATTGCAAAGCGAATTCTAAAAATGGAGTCATCCATGTCTTTTAACCATTCTTTTACAGTGAGACTCAATATATGTGCACAACATCTCATGTGCAAAAAATCACTATTTAAGACATTCCTTCCAACTTTCTAACCGATTCTGGAGATATCTTATTCCAACATCATTAGAACTTGCATGGTCCACGGTAACGATGAAAATCTTAAAAATACCATAATCAAGCAAACACCTCTCAATTGCCTTGCCAATCAGTAAACCTTTGTGAGTAGTAATTGGACAAAAGTTTAAGATCTTTTTGCGTAGTTTCCGACCATCATCAATGAAGTGAGCCGTCAGACACATATAGTTATGGTTCTGGCAAGATGTCCATGTATTCGTGGTAAGACTCACTCTCTGACTAAACTTACTAAAAAAGGTCTTTAACTTCTGTCTCTCCTCAACATAAATATTAAAATAATTAATTTCTAGCCACAATAATACAAGGGGGAACTTGAAATAAAGGTTGTGCCTCTCTCATCATTTTGTGGAACCCCGCATGCTCTATATACCTAAAGGGCAACTCATCAATAATGATCATTCTAGCTACAGCCTGTCTAACCCTGTCTAGATTAAATTTCCAAGCTGTAAGTGAAAATTGTGTGGAGGTGGCAGTAGTACCGCTTGATTGGTCATGTGATTGTGACTATTGAAAAACTAAGATCCTTTGTTTCTTATCCATCAAATTCAAAGGGTACTTTTTACATTGACTTAAGTGATTTTGTAGACAACTAGTACCACTTTTACATGTTTGGGGACTCGTGGTGGTTGTGGTCATGGATCCATAGAAGACTCTAGGGCTAAGGGTGGGGCTAGGATTGGGAGTTGGAGTCCTACTAGTTGGTGTCTCAGGACTCTCATCATCAGTATTAGAATGGTCAATGGCCATGGAATTGGACATCTACAACATCAACACGAAGGATATGTGAATGACTTATCTACACACAAAAATAAATAAATAAAGCATTAATTAGAATATGCATATACAGAGCATTGAAAATGATTTTCTAGATAAACACTTGATAATCAAACAAACTGAGAGAAGTACAGATGGTTTATGTTTATTAAAAATCTAAAGCAGATCCTCAAAGTCACAGCAAACAACTTTATTAATAATGGAAAAATGTTATTTGTTAATGCTTAAAATGGATGAATATTATCTCATTACTAATAAGAATCCAAATAGTAATAATATTTTACAATTGGATTTGGCTTTTATTGCTTGCAATGTAGACATTAATTATATTTATTTTTAATCAATATTAATCCCACACCGTCCTTCAATCTACCACTAAAGTGATACATCATTTACTAAAATATTGTGAGAAGTTAATTAAATAATATATGGGCTTTTTCACTAGATAAATTGCCAAAGTTATAATTTTGTTTAATTACTATCAAGTAGTTGTATCAAAGACACTACTGATTATAAATGAATATTTTCATTAATTAATAGTGGTTGAGTGAAGGAAGACTCATGCACATCAAAATCTTAAAAGCTAGAGGTTGAAATTTGCCTCAACATAATCGATTTGAAGGTCATATAAGATTTTAAAACAAAAATTACCTTAAATTTAGCTTCGAGATCCTCCCACATATATTCCTTAATCTTCTTATTCTCAAAAGTGTCTATTACAAACCAAACAAAGGCATTAACTTTTACATCAATCAAACATAACAAACACATACCCATTCATTTAAACATCATATATACAAACACAAGCACAAATATCCAACATTTCAACCTTTTTCCTCTCAAATCAACAGAGGACGGTATTCCTAAACACACACACATTCAATTAATCCTATTCTTCCTCATTAACAAAAAATCATCCATAAATAAACCATACACTTGATAAAATTTACATAAATAAATGAATCCACAGACTTACTCAACAATCTTCGTCAATTTCACACAACATTATCCACCACGTAACCACAAAAATCCAAAGCAATCTCAAACACAGGAAGCTGCAAAATTCTAAAACTTACCTGATCATTTGTGACGAATCTGGAGGGGGATGAAGCTAAAGAAGCTAAGGGACTAAATTGAAGAAGAAGAGTGACGAAGCTGGCAAGTGGCTGGATAGATAGAGAAGGAGGCAGACGAAGCTATTGCCAGAGGTGAGAACGAAGAGACAAAGAAGGAAAAGCTGCTCGCCTCTAATGTGGAGAACAAAGATTCATGGATTAGAAGAGAATGAAAAAAGGATTTAGGGATTTTTTTTTTTAATTTTATATTTTAATATTTTTATAATAAACCGGTTTTGGTTAATCGTTTTCCATATTCTCGTAAATCAGTAACCGAACCGAAAATCAATCTTTGTATTTCTTTGAACCGAAACCGAACCAATTTTTTGGATGACTGGAAAAACGGTTTGGTTACCAGTTCAGTTCAGTTTCTGTATTTTTTTTAACACCCCTAAATATAGTAGCTAGTGTATTGATCACTAGCCCAATCAGCATCAGAGTATGCATGTAACTCCAAAGAGGATGAAGATGGAAGTAAACGACTTTTAAAAATAGTACCCCAAAGATACCGCAAAATATGAGGAACAACTGCCTAATGAATAATAGTAAGAGAAGTTACAAACTGGTTGACTATGTGAACAACATATACAATAGCTGGACGAGTAATAGTGAGATAAACCAAACTACCAACAATAGTGCGATATAAAGTGGGATCTTGCAAGGGGACACCATCAGAGGGAGAATATCGAACATTAAGCTGAAGAGAAGTATCGACAATCTTGGTATCGGTAAGACAAGCATACTCCAAGATGTCAGTTGTATACTTGGATTGAGAAAGAAGATAAACTTTTGGAGAGAATGCTACTTCAATACCCCAAAAATAACGTAAAGAGCCCAAGTCCTTCATTTCAAATTAAATAGTCAAATATGATTTCAACAATGCAGTTCCATCAACATCATCATCAGTAATAATCATTTCGTCAACATATAAAGAAAGTAGAATACGACCAGCAAGGGTACACTTTATAAAAAGATCTGAATCATGATTACTAGGGTAAAAACCAAGAGAAGAAATCACACGAGAGAATTTTTCAAACCAGGCTCGAGGTGCTTGTTTTAGACAATATAGAGCTTTCTTGAGTTTGCAAACTTCTCCAGAACTATGAGACATACCAAGAGGAGGTACTAATCCATTTCCAATTCAACAACACAACACACTCCAAAAATCAAGTAGAAATTTGACCAAATTAAAAACATGAACTAAGGCACACTTACTTGCAAATCCGGACCAAGACAAGTAGAAACACTTCAAGCCTAAAGGATTACTCCACCAACTTGAATTGATTCACCACCAAATCCTCTTGCCAAGACTTGGATAAAGAATGCACACTCAAGAACACAAAGTTTCTCTCAAATGGATAAAACCAATTTCATATATTTCAAAAGCTCTTTGTTATAATGAAATAATTGCCCTTATATAGGCAAATATAAGGATAAACAATTGACAAATACAATAAAATGAAAATAAACTTAACTAATATTACAAGCCATTCATTCAAAAAGCAAGGCCATGCCTATTTAATGCAAGGAGACACAATTTCCTAATTCTAGGATCTATGTCTTTAACCACCCCATTAGTTGAAATAAGCTTACTTCATTAGATCAAAACTTGATCAATGATCCTAATTAAGTCTACTAATAAGGGTGCAAGGGTTTGGGCCTTGAGAATCATGCAAATGGATCCAATAAGGGTTCGTGTGGATTTTCCCCTTTGGAATGAGACTTGGGTCGGATTGGACCACTTCAACACTTGGGCTTCTTTCTTGGTGGGCTTGCGCTTCCCTTGTTGAGCTTGGGCTTGGAATGGTTTGGGCCAAAATGTTTGGACTCTCTCCTTCCTTGGAACTTGCTTGGGCCAAATTTCCTTCCTTGCATTCCACATTCCACATTCCACAATCAAAGTGTTTTAGGACTCGGAGTGAAATTCTTCAATTCAACTGAATTAGCAAGTATTTTAGAACTTGTAATTCCCTGTCCACTCATGTTTACAAGTGTTTTAGGACTTGTAAATGTATCATCCTCCCCAGGTTGAGAATGATTTTCCCTCAAATCCAAATCATCCTCCAAGTATGGGCTTAGATCCCCCACATTGAAGGTGGCCGAGACTCCCCAATACTCACTAGGCAACTCCACCTTATAAGCATTATCATTTACCCTCTCAACAACCTCAAAAGGTCCATATGCTCTAGGAGCTAATTTACTCTTTCTCTTACTTGGAAACATCTCATTTCTCAAGTGAATCCATACTAAATCCCTTGGTTGGAAAAGCTTAGGCTTTCTATGCTTATTTGCCTTATTCTTGATCTTTTCGTTTGATTTTTAATTTGAGCTCTCATGGTTTCATAGAGTTTCTTCATTTGCTTCAATTTCTCATTAGCATCCACACTTGGCCCAAAATCAAGAGGTAGTGAAGTAAGATCAAAAGGGATAAGTGGGTTTACTCTATACAACACCTCAAATGGAGTGTGGCTAATAGTAGAACTAAGACTCCTATTGTAGATAAATTCAGCATGTGCCAATTAAAAATCCCAATCCTTTAAATGCTTACTCACCAAACTTCTTAGGACATTACCAAACACCTTATTCACCACTTCAGTTTAGCCATCGATTTGAGGGTGGTGTGAGGTACTAAACATCAATTTTGTGTTAGGAAACGATCAAGTCATGGCAGCGGAAACAAAAATTATTTACGACATGGATCGTTCCTTAGAACCAAGATCAAGGCACAAATATATAGTTTATACATTAAATAAGAATCTGCAGAAAATTCAGTCTAGAGTTAAGAAATCATACACACGTTTGGAGGCTCTTCCAACTTGTCTCTGAACGGATTTCGCTACTGACCCAAGAGTAGGATCGAACCAATGTAGTCCACACGAAGACAACCCCAAGGAACTAAAGAGGGATTTGCTAGATCCTCTTTAGCCTTAAGAACCAAGATGAAATCAAAAGAGATTTGATTCAAGCAAAAAAAAAAAAAAAAAAAAAAACAATCTGGGGTAGGAAGAAGAGAAAGGGGCTGGAATATTTTAGGTTAATTGAATGAATTAATTCACAAAGTGTTGCACTTATATAGTGCACACTTTGCCATATTCCATCATGGAATATGCTTGGGTTCCAACCCAAACACCCCTTGTATCCAAACAACCCCATTTATATATTTTTTAATTTTAAGTATCAAATTAAATTAAGGCTACGACCTCAGCAAATTTAATTGCACTATAGATTACCAAAATACCCTTTTGCCTAAAAAGACGAAAACACCTTCTTATAAACTGGTTCTTAAATTATCTTCTATGTGTGTGACCTATAGACTCCTTATCATACCGGTAGTGTGTAGTATCGCGATTAACACCAATTAATCGTCTCACTACGCACAGATCAAGATTGGCCTCTAGCAAGGCATCATGGCTACTCGATAGATTCAGATTCAGTGAAGCAGCTACCTGTCAACGATATGGTTACCATACAATTCAATCCTTTCATCATCCGTTGTCTCAACGAGACCAAGGCATAGAAATAGTGTCAACCTCAGTTACTCTTGATATGTATGTATTCAGTTACTGGACCAATGACCTGAATAATAATCTGGATAGAGCAACAACTCAATCCCACTGTGGCCACAGTTTTAGTGTCATTGCCATTTGCTGAATTGCGCCGTGAGATAACTTCCCCCGTACCCGAGAGCGATGAATCCTCTGTCGATCCACCATAGTCTTGATACACTCCTTGATGCAGCCAATCACTACCGTATTGACAGCTCTGAATAGAATTGTGTTGGGCTAGTGTCAAACTGCACCAATCGGTGCACAAGGCGCTCTGGTGATCTCAAGTCTAAGGATCACATACACCACTATTCGTTAGAGGATTTGTTCCATAGACACTAGGGTTACCATCCATATGGAATCCTCTGGTGAGTCATGTAATACTTTCTTTCTAGCTAGTATACTCATAAAATAATTAGTAAAACTCATTAAAAATATATATAAGAAAATACACATATAAACGAGTAATAAAGTTTGGGCCCATATCTAATTTTTCTTTATATACAAATATACTCAAAATAGCAACTTGACAGTGTAGCCCAACCCTTCCATTGTGTGACGTTCTGAGCGACCGCAACTCACCTATTACCTGCAAAAACATTAAAAACAACGGAGTGAGCACTAATTGCTTAGTAAGTAAACCCGCTATGCTACCCTTCTCTCTCCGTTGCTTAAATTCTGAATTTTCTTTTCCTTACATCTCATTTCCCGATTATTCTCTATTCTTCCTCTGTTCTTCTCTCTGTTCTTTCTCTATTCTTTCTTTGTTCTTTCTCTGTTTTTCTCTAAATTTTCTAATTTTTCACTACTCACAATAATGAGCATGGTATTATGCATATTCATGATGCAAATGCACAAATGCATAGATTATGCATTTTCTTTTCTATTTTTTCTTATTCTGTTTTCTTTATTTCTATTCTTTCTTTCTTTCTTTCTATTCTTTCTCTCTTTCTATTCTTTCTTTCTTTTCTATTCTTTCTTTCTTTTCTTTCTTTTCTTGCCGATCAGACTTGGTTGAGGCATGGATTTGGAGCCCTGGCCATGTGAGTGAATTCTCTAATTCTGGGTACAGTCCTCATCCACACGCACTTCTAACGGACTGTACAATTCTTCTTTCTGAATTCTGAGGCCGTTCACTAAAGGTGGCGTGCATATGGGGCTATGTCACTCACGGGCTCCTCATCGCAACAACCTTCTCTTCTTTTTATCTTTTTACACTTCTTTAACTAAAAATTCAGATTTGAATATCTTTAATATTCTCATTTCTTTCTATTTTCTCTTTAACATATTTTAGTGCTTTCTCATACTCTTATGAATATGTATGCATGTAGATGGTTTCATGCTTATAATTCTTTCTAAATTCACATGTTTAAATGCAATTATGCATTATGGAATGCAAACATGTCATTCTCTACCATCTACCAACTCATCCCAAAGTAACACATAATCATACTCATACATGCACTTCTCTTTGACATTTCATCAAACAATTCATGTGCACAAATCAATACTAATTTGGCTGCACTTCTATCTCTCTTCTAGGCCACCAAAAATTTGGAATAAAATCCTCCATAACTAACACCAAATCTGCCCAAAATACACACTCCAAAATTTCCACTTCAATTCTTTCAAATTTCAACCAAACATTCATCAAGTATCAAATACACCAACACAATTTCTCATGGATAGGTTCTAATCATCCTTCAACACCAAATCCATCAACAATTCTACATATACACATATATATGCATAAAAAAAATTCTATACACAACATAACTTAAATCATACTTAGGGTAGGATTTACTTACCTTTGATATGAGCAATTCAACCCTTTAAGAATCTCCTTTGATCAAACTCTCTTCCTCTTAAATCCTATGAGCACAAACCATCAAAATTCAACACTTTAAAAATTAAAATCACTTCTTAGTGCAAGGATCTTACCTAAAGATACTTGGGATTGAAAATCCACTAAAAAATACCCAAAATCTATGAATTTCTTTTGAAAAAGAAGTGAAGAAATTGAGAGGATTTGGAGGAGAAGGTGGTGTGAAAATGGGTTGAATAGGGTTGCACTTTCTTTAAAATTTCATCTATGTCCTTATTCAATTACCATAATGCCCTCATTTTTATTGCATTCTCCATGAAATTCTATTTTTTTTCACTCCCCACAATTTCAACTAATTTTGAGTGAAAAGACCATTTTACCCTTAATGCAAGTTTAAGGCATTTTCTTCACATTTTCTCAAAATAACTTTAGCAAAAATTAACTAAAGGTATAAGAGCATAAATTAAATTATGTACCTCCATGTGGGCGTTACAGGTCAGTCCAGTGAACTTGCCTACAGCAAGCACCCATGTGTTACACCAGGTTGTCACCAAACAACCTTGACAAGTGAGATCAGTCACTGCCTTTTAACAGGGTCATTCAACACTATGATAGTCTTACCGTATTATCTGTGCCCTTACTTCAGAATAATACTGGGGCTATGGGTGTTTCTAGAATGACCACCATATGTGCTCATAGGGTTCTCACTATTAGGATTTGAAACACTTGATACCCTCATCACGATTCTACCATTCTAAGGACATATATCAATACATACAATGATGATTTACGCGATATAGAATAATATGCCTTTTATTGATCAATGAACATTATTACAAAGAATCAATTTTACAATAATTGATTGGCTCTAGGGCATCTACTCTAACAATCTCCCACTTGCACTATAGCCAATCATTCATGTATTTAATACCAAATGATCTCGAGTGCCTTTTATGCTTTTGCTGTGACAAAGGTTTTGTCAGTGGTTCTGCGAGATTATCGTCAGTATGCACTTTACTGATCAGCACATCTTTCCTCTCAACTATTTCTCTGATGAGATGGAATCGTCTGAGTATTTGTCTAGACTTCTGATGAGACCGTGGTTCCCTAGCTTGAGCGATTGCTCCATTGTTGTCACAATAGATGTCTATTGGATCAACAATCGTGGAAACCACACCAAGTTCAGTGACGAACTTCTTAATCCAGACTGCCTCCTTAGCCATATCTGATAATGCAATATACTCAGCCTCTATTGTAGAGTCCGCTACAGTGCTTTGCTTGGAGCTATTCCAGCTCATTGCACCCCTATTGAGACAAAATACAAACCCTGATTGCAATCGATAATCATCTTTGTCCGTTTGGAAACTAGCATCATTGTATCCTCTTACAGTGAGCTCATCTTCCCCTCCATAAACCAAGAACATATCCTTAGTCCTCTTCAGCTACTAAAGAATGTTCTTGATAGCCATCCAATGATGCTCACCTGGATCCTATTGATATCTACTGCAAGTGCTCAAAGCACATGAGACATTAATCCGAGTACATAGCATGGCATATATGATGGATCCAATTGTTGAAACATATGGGATCCTCTTCATCCTATCTCTTTCATCTTGTGTTCTAGGACACATTTCCTTAGAGAGATAAACACCATGTGACATTGGAAGAAATCCTTTCTTGGATTCTTCCATACTGAATCTTTTCAATACTTTGTCAATATATGCACTCTGACTTAGGCCAAGCAACCTATGCGATCTATCACGGTAAATCTTTATTCCAAAGATGTAGGTTGCTTCCCCTAAGTCCTTCATGGAGAAGCACTTCGATAACCAAGTCTTTACCGACTACAAGTT